TCATCCACTTTGATGTGAACACCCACGTTCACTATTTAGATCACCTGTGGGAAGGAAATCCCCCAATGGCACCACCCAACCCCACCTACAGCCACAACGTCCAGCAATTAAAGAGAAAAATTCTCCAGGTTGCCAAGAAGGAGTCACAAGGCAGCATTTTGAGGCTCTCGAGCCTGAAAGTTCGTATTGGTGACCTCTGGAATGCTTTGTTGAATGAGAACTTTGCTTTCAGCTTCAAGAATTCACTGGAGATTGCTGTGTACAGGAAACTGGACACTGCCTTTAGTCAGTGGACCTGGAGGCTGAGGAGTCACATCTCAGACATACAAATGAGACTGGGCAACAGAATTCAGAATGGAGACTTGCAGCAAGTCACCAGAGAACACCTGGAAGGGCTCGTGCAAGAGACAAGTGATGCCATCATGACAGACATGGAAAAGTATTTCAGGGAAGTCAAAGACTGTGAGATGCAGGTCCAGTGGAAAAGCAGCACAGAGCTGAAGATGAAAGATCTGAAAGAATCTCTTCTTCTTGAAACTCGAAAGAAATGTGAGAGTCTCATTGAACTGCAGAAGGCCCAAAGTAAACTGGATGCAAAGACGCTGGAATATGAAGATGAGCTCCTGAGAAAGAGCAGGGAGTTGACTCTGGCTCTAAAAGGTAAGAGCCTCAGTGAGATACAACTGAGAGACAGCTTTACTTCTCTCTGGGCTGAGTGCATTGCTGAAGTCTCCCGTGCTGCTCCCCCACGGGAACGGGTGGATATTGATGCAGAAATAGAAGATGTCCTTCTGGAGCATTTTATGGAGCCTGATTTCCATGCACGGATCAGGTCATTTCCCAAACATAGAGAATTTTCTTTGTACTCGAAGAAATATGTCACAACGTGTTGGCAAACATACCTCCTATTTTTTGTTTCCAAGGATTATATGAACTTCCAGGACATCACAGACAGCATAATAAAGCGTGTGTGGGCAAACATTGATAAGAAGGAACAGAAGAAAATGGATTACAGTCGAACCTTTATTCATGAAATACTCCATGAAGTACAGGAAGGTGTGAACTCCATCCCCAGCCCATTTAGGGTTAACAAAGATTACATCATAGATTTATCTGTGTACCTCTGCAGAATGGCAGCAGAAAGGTTTAAAGCCATGCACGAAGCGTTTCGGAAGGCAAATGACCCAGTCACCTACCTGAACAGCAAAAGAGAAGATTTCTTCACATGTTTCCAGATTTCCTGCCAAGGAGCCACTTCTGTCATAGCTTTTGCTGTTTTCCTTTCTTGCAAGCTTGTCCCAGCTCTTCACCGGGCCGTCTATGAGGGGACGGCTAAAGCCATCGCTGGAGACATGCAAGGGAAAGTCCCAGATTTCCAGGGCAACAGAGCCAATCTGGAGGTTTGTATCCTGAGATTCCTGGCACAACAAGAAAATTTTCAGTATTTCAAGCAGTACCTTAAACACCCAAAAAAGTTTTTTCAGATGTACATTGAGAGATGTGTTAGGAGTTACTGTTTAGATGAGAACAGGAGGCTGGAGAAGTTTTTAGCTTCCTCCCTTGAACTTCTCTATGGAAGCATCCTGTCAGCTGTTTCTTCATCAACCAAAAAGGTCAAAGATAGAAATGACAGAGAGGACAAAACCTCTCTCTGGCTGGATGAATTTTGTAGGGAACTGACAGAGGTGATCAACTTGCCCAGAAGTGACCTGAAGTGCATCGAGCATCAGGAGATCACAGACATTGAGTTATTGAACAAAGCCATGGAGGTAGGACTGGCTGCCCTGAGGGATTGGCTCAGGGGAAAATTTGTTTTTGCTGATCTGAGCTGCTTTGAAAGGCAGCCTCACACCATCCTGGCTGAGCAGTTTTCAGGGTGCTGGGCGCAGTGTCCCTTTTGTGGGGCTGTCTGCACATACACCATGTGGGGACACGATGGGCACCATCAGTTTGTCTTCCATAGACCAGAATTTTTGACAGGACGGAAGTGGCATGGAACGGACCATCTAGTCATTGAGATTTGTCTTAGCAACTTTGCAAGTGCCTCTAAATCTTCCAGTTGGAACATTCTTCCTGATCCATCCATGCAAGCGTACTGGAAATGGTTTGTGTGTCGTTTCAGAAGAGATCTAGAGATGTTGTACAATGGGGAATTTCTGGGCAAAGGGGAAATCCCTGAGGCCTGGAAGAGAATTACCAAGCAGAAAGCACTTGCCGCTCTGGACAAGTGTTAGGCCAAGCTGATGGGAAGGAAGAACCTCCATGGCTTTGCAGTTTAGAAGAACAGAGTACAAGGCCGTCCACAAAATGCTGTTTCAATGCTTATGCTGTCAAGCCACAGGAAGACAATGGTATCCAACTGCTGACAAATTTGGGTGAAATAAGGTGCGTTACTCCAGCCCTCACTCAGAAACTCCCTCACTTCCTGATCAAGCAGAATCCTCTTCCTTTCCTGCCATAAACATTCCCCTCTGATTTGTCCTCGAGTAAAACAAAAACCCTCCTTGTGGTGATGAGTCCCATGGCCAAGGTGGAGCCCAAGTGCCAGAGGAAGATCAAAGGCAGCACTAGGAAGCACCAAGTCGATGAGCTGCTTCAGTGGAATCCCTTGGAGGCTTTGATAATAAAGGAGCTGGTTTGGACCGGCCTGATCCCTGTGTCCTTTCTGTCCGGGGGAGCCCCAGCTAGGGGTGACTGAGTGCCTGTGCTGTGCACAGGGGCAAGTGACAGGGGGGTGGCCCTGGGCCAGGGTCTGGGGGAGGGGATGTGGCAGGAGAGGGTCTGCTCGGTTCAGGGGGTCTGGTCAAGGACTGCCCTCACTATCTGAAGGGACAGTAAATAGAGCAGGAAGCCACAAAGCAGGAGCTCCAGGGAAACCAATGTGAGTGGCAGTGAAACAGGAGCCAGGCCTAAAAGAGTTAACTAAGAAATCTGGGCCTGCTAACAAGCCATGAATATCCAAATGATCTGTACTCTTCTGTTCTACCTACTGGACCAAATCTTAAGAGTATGGTAAAAGAAACATAGAATAGGCCTAGAGGTAACAAATTAAGATGCAGTAAGATAAAGAAGACATTTGAATAGAAGAAACAGGCTGGGAGCCAAGGCCTTCTCCCAACTTCAGTGAGCGGGTCAAAAACAATAGAAGAGAAGGGAGGTCAAACCGAGGAAGATGAGAATTAGCCCCCAGACCCATGGAGGAAGAATGGATGTACCACCAAAATTGAGGGCCAAGAGAAGCACCGCCCCAAGCCCCGCCTGAGCTCCACCTATACTCTGCCTGTTATTAATATGCATAGATAGATTTTGTAATCACATGAATATACAGTTAATCATATACAAAAATTGTATAAAAACTGCTGATTTTGTGTGAAGCCTTTGAGCAAGTTTGTCCACGTGAGCTGGCTTGCTCCCAACGTTGAATAAACAAATACCTTGCTGCTTAAAGATTAAAAAAGGTCTCTGAGCAGTTTTTGGGCCGATTTTTCAGATTCAGCAGGTGACAAGGGAGGTAGCAGTGGGACTCAGGCCTGGTGTGTGCCATGGACAGAGGGCTGAGAAGGTTTATCCCAGCCAGGGTCTCTGATCGGGAGCTGCTCAGCTGGGAAACTGGAGGACAAAAGGGAACGAACCCAAACTCTCTCCAGCCCCAGAGCTGAGAAAGCAGCCATGGAGCCAAGGACAGGAACCAAAGCTGGGCAGGGGGAGCATGTGCTGCAGAGGCTGAGGGTACTGGGAAGACCTGGGGGTGGGAGTGGATTTGGGTGCTACTGGAGTCAGATTGGGAGTGCAGGTGCCCCTGGCCATGGTGTCAGCTGTGGGCTGAGAGGGGTCCCAGTGCAGCTACTGGGCTGAGAGGGGTCCCAGTGCAGCTACTGGGCTGAGGGGGGGTGGCCTCTGGCCTGGGCTGGGCTATCAGGCACTGCAGGGTCCCTCACCTGGTACCCTCACCTCTGCCAGCAGCTCCCAGCTCCTTGTCCAGCACAGTGAGATGGTTCTCTGCACCCTTCCATGTCTCTGCCAGGCCACCCTGGCCAGCATCTCCCTCAGGGGGATTGTCCGGCACATCCTTCCTTGCAGACATTGCTGTGGGAAGGAACAGAAACAGCTTGAAGGTCCTTTCCTACCTGACCAATTCTAGGACTAGGGGCCTTCCAGTGACACTGGGATGCAGCAGCTCTGCCATTCTGCAAGGGTTGGACCTGAGGTTGTGTAAAGGACTGATATAAGGTAGGATCTGCTTTGCCTTTGCCTTGAGCATGGAGCTAAAAAGCCTTGCTGCAAAGGCCAGGCTGCTTCAGGAGCAGAGCTGCCTGCAAAAGCTACAGGAGGTATCCAGTAAGCTGTCAGAGGCATACAGTGAAGCTATTTTTATCAAGAAAGATGGTCTTTTGATAAAAAGTTGCTACAATCAAGTACATGGCAAGGACTTCCTCTCCCAAAGAAGGAATACCAGGCAGATCTTGCTTGGATACTGGAGAACCAGCCAATGGACTCAGGTACCAGGTACCAGGCAAACTGTCATGGGTTGAGGTGGCTGGTTTTTTTTTTTCGTAGCGAGGGGGCTACATAGGGTGGCTTATGTTAGAAGCTGCTAGAAGTTTCCCCCCCAGTGAAGTCAATGATAGCTGGCTACAGGAGGGACTTCCTGCTGCTGGCCCAGGGAGAGCCAATAATAGCACCTTTGTGATAACATATTTAAGAACAAGCTGGTTGCGCAGAAGAAATTGGAGTCAGATGGGTGCCGACTGAAGTCTCCACGCGGCTGGGGGGGCCTCCCCCGCTACGGGCAGGGGAGGCAGACTCGGCCTGGGCGGCGCGGCACCTAGACCAGAGAGATGCAGCCATGGCTGGGGCCAGGGCGTGTGGCCCCACAGCCCCCTGGGCCCGCCCTGCGAGCTGCCCGTGCTGCTCTCGGCAATGCCGGCCGAGCCGAGTGGCAGCCCCTGCAAAGGGGCAGCCAGGGCCGGGGTGCATGGCCCCATGGAAAGCAGCCCCACAGCTTCCCCGGGCCCTCCCCATGAGCAGCCCGTGCTGGAGCCCGTGCTGCCTGAGGAGCCGAGCCGGGTTGGGCCGAGGGGCTTGAGGACACCCCGCAGGCTGGGCCAGGGCTGCAGAGCGGCCCTGCCTGAGGGCACTGCCCCCCTCTTTTCCCCCCGACCGAACTGAGCCAGGACAGGCCAGGGTGGCCCTGCCGTGGTGCAGCCGAACCCATGCTGGAGCAGATGGATGCGTGGAAGAAGGCCGTTACCCCCCATGGAAGGCCCAGGAGACCAAGGAGACCTGTGGCTCGTGGAGAAAGAAGTCCGCATCAGAGCAGGTTATTCCTAGGTAGGACTCATGGCCCTGTGGGGGATCCACATCAGTATAGCTCACCCTATGAAGGACTGCACCCTATGAAGGACCATCACGGTGCAGAGGACCCTCCCTGCACCCCATGGAGAAGTGACCCTTGAGACAGTAAAAATGGAAGAACTGCTGCCTGAGGGAGAGGACCCATGTTGGAGAGGTCCATTAAGGACTTATTCCCATGGGAGGGACCCCATAGAGCAGGGGAAGGACTCAGAGCTTTGGCTCCCCTGTAACCCGTGGTGAAGATCATGGTGAGGCAGGTGTCCCACTGCAGCCCATGAAGAACCATCAGGGTGCAGAGACACCCCCCCCTGCACCCCACGGAGGAGTTAACCATGAGACAGCAGACTGGGGTGGGGGGCAGCTAGCTGAGGGACTTATGTTGGGAAATCCCCTTCTGAGTATCCCTGCATTGCTGAGGGGGGAGGAGAGAGAATATGGAAGGAAGGAGAGGGGGTGGGGGAAGTGTTTTGAAGACTGTTTTATTTCTCACTCTTTAGCTCTCATCCTCTTAGTAATAAATTTTAGTATTATCCCCACGTTGAGTTTTGTTTTGCCTCTGTGACTTCTCCCAGCTTTTAGAGATTTTAGGGGGTGCCTAGAATCCGGCCGGGGTCAACCCACGACACCAACTTTGCTTGGATCCTGGTGAACTAAACAATGGGAACTCAGGGTCTGCCACTGTGAGGATATTTAAGGCAGTGCCCAGGGTGGCACAGGGGGACTGCTGTGGGACCTGCTGCCACTCTGTTACTCTGCCCACTGCTTTGCTCCTCAGAAGCGACAAGACCACCAGAGAAGCAGCCTACTTTTTTTCCTACTTTTCTCTCTTCCCTCTTTGTTTCTGCTCTTTTTCTGTTCTAAAATAAAGTTGAATTAGCATTTTGGAATCCAGCATCTGGCCTCGTTTTGTGCCTTAATCTCATTTAGGGAATATTTGTAACCTGGTTCCTCTCAGATTTGTGGACGAAGGCTCACTGCCTCTCCACATCGGAGGAGGCTGGTACGGAGAGTACCTTGGGAAACAGCCCTTCAAAACAAAGGGGTCCAGGAAGAGTGGACAGAACTCAAGAAAGAAATCTTGAAGGCACAGGAGCAGCCTGTCCCAATGTGCTGAAAGGTGAGCCGGCAGGGAAGACTGGCCCGGCTGGGCAGGGAGCTTTTGCAGGAACTCAGGGAAAAAAAAGAGGCTGTGTCACCTTTGGACAAAGGGGCAGGCAACTCAGGTAGTGTTTAAGGATGTCCTTAGGTCATGCAGACAGGAAATTAGACAGCCAAAAGCTCAGTTAGAACTAATCTGGCCGCTTCTATAAAGGATAAGAAAAGCTGTTTTCATAAATACATCAGCAGCAAAAGGAGGAGCAAGGGAAACCTCCATTGTTTATTGGACGCAGTGGGAAATGTAGTTACCAAAGCTCGACCCCCAGGACAGGATTTCCTCATTGTTCCCACAGCCCTGGGTGTCATCAGCACTGGGATTCGCTGTCCTGGACACAGCGAATCCAAAGGGACACACAGGTGTCCGACGACTGGCTCCTGTGCCAGCAGCACCAGGAGTGCAGCACCCAGACTTTGGGTGCCCTGGCAGGGGCAGCCCAGTCCCCGAGGGCCTCGGGAAGGGCACTGGGTCCCCCTCGATTTGGGAGGGGATGAGCAGAGGGATATGTGAGGAGCTTCCAGGGTGACCTGAGCCCATCCCCGAGACATCAGGGCGCCGAGCACTGGAGAGGGGACGGATGAGGCCGTGGCTGGGTAGATCAGGGTGGGCAGGCAGCCGTGGTGCCAATAGCAGGAACAGCTCGTTCCCTCTCCCCCCAGATTAAGTGATGGATTAGGAAATCCTCGTGTCGCCCGCCAGAGGGGGCTGAGTCTTTGTTTGATTGTTTCCTTTCCTAATCAGCTCCTAAAATAAAGCTTAACTACCAGAGTTCTTTGCTCTGTAACTGCGAGGTCCAAATGGCGGTTGGTAGCAGTCCCGGGACGGTGGAAGCATCCCCGGGAGAGTGGGAGCAGCCCGGGAGGATAGAAGCAGGCCAGGAGGGAAGGGAAGGCAACCCAGTAGAGTGTGAGGAGTCTCAGGAAGGTGGGAACAGCTCCGGGAGGGTGGGAGCAGTCGCGGGAGGGCGGGAGCAGCCCCGGTAAGATGGAAGCAGCCCTGGAGAGTGGGAGAGCAGCCTCGGGAAGGTGGGAGCATTCCTGGGAGGGCGGGAGCAGCCCGGGAAGGCGGGAGCAGCCCTTGTAGGGGGGGAGCAGGCTGGGAGGCGACAGGGGACAACCCGGGAGGGTGGGAGCAG